CTTAAGCCTTCCTCCCTAAACATCCCTAAAGCCACAGCGATAGAATCCCTGTATATCCCTCAATAACACCGCTTTTCTCGAGGCCTTTTATGTAGCTCATTCTTGGGTTTGCTATGTTTGTTTGGTAAGAGGGTATAACATGCCATGTACCCGAGAAGGCAGCGCATGGGAGGCTCGGGGGTAAAGAGACCAACGTTCAAAAGCCCCAATCCCTAACCGCTAAACACTATACCTCATAATCCCTCTCCATGATCATCGAAGATCGCTAACCCCCAAACCCCGAACCCTACAATCCCACTCTAATATCCTCAAATTGAAGGGCCCAATACATCTAAAAACCTTTATCCCTAGACCCCAACCGGGGTAATGTGAAATCCCTCTCGATTATCCGACCCTGGCCCATATATCTTACCTGTTCTTACCCTACTAAGAACGAGTAAGATAAACCCTCCCTGAACTCTAGCGCAGACATTGCCCCGGCGCCTTCTCCAAGCGCCGAGCCGCGATAGCTGCGTCGCTGCGCAGCTGCAGCAGCCGCCTTCAGCGACCGAAGAAAACCGAGGAGCTCCATACTTTAGGGTTTACGGTTTTGGATTTAGGGTCTAAGGTCTAGAGTCTAGAGTTATGGATGGTTATGACGGGGTCCTTTTACTAGGTTGTCAGGGGTTATATAGGATTTAGGGAGTTGAGGGCCTTAAACAAGTTTCGGATCCAAGTACATGTAGCAGTGTATGGAGTACTTATTATTGAAAGCATCTTGAGCTCAGTAGAAACTCAAGTAACAGACTGCTGATGTTGTTGCTTTGTATGGCTTTGGAGTCTGTAGTAGCCTAAGTAATAGCCCACTATCCAAGTATTTGTTTTCTTTGGTGGCCTTCGTGGTGTTGTTGATGGGGGCGACACACTTCTGTGTGTTGCAAGACATCCCACGCTCATGATGCTGTTGCAGCAGTTGTGGTATTTCTTATCCTTGCTGTCCTTGAGTTTGGCACTGTGATTGGATCAGCGCACATGTGCACGCTGCAAACCACTCCATGTGCTTCATGTCACCGCAATTCACCGATTTGGACTTCTTGGCTGCCATGGGAACACACGTCTGTGTGTTGCACGGCATCTCATGCCCGTCAGCAGCTGTACTTTGTTTATCCTTGCTGCTGCTGCTGCTGCTGCAGCATCACGAGCATCATAGGCTTTGCTACACATATGTTTCTACTCACCAACAACACCATTTATGCCAAACACATCAGCATTTATAGGGGATGCAGGTTTGGCCGCAGCTTGGAGGGGGGCATCCTAAACCCACCCGACAGCAATATAAAACACAAGCCGCAGAAACTGAACACATCTACCAGCAGCATCGTGGGCACTTTGCTTTGGCCGAAAGCACTTAACATAAAGAAACACTCCTTCCTGAATGAGATATGGTGCTACCTAGACACTATAATCCTAAAGCCCCAACAAAAAAACACCACCAAACCACGAAACACCCCTAAGCCCCATAATCCATCCAAAACCCCAAACAGCACCCCAACCCTAACCCTGAAAAGCACCCCCAACCCTAAACCTAAGCCCTGAACCCTGAACCCTAAACCCCCCCACCGTTCACCCACTGATGAGACAAGTGGCGCGTGCATTTGACGAACGGCATCCGTCATGGCATCCTCGCGCTGCTCAATGTGGACCTGCACCCAGGGTTTAGGGTTTAGGCACGCAGGGAGCTGAAGTCTATACAACGTCTATGTAGGGACTGTATGCGACTCGGGCTTAGGGAGTAGGATTTACGGATGCGGGTTTTTGAAGGAGGGACTACTCAGAAAAGACTTCACGGGGCATCGCACAAGGGAACCTACTATATGGTATGTTCTCAACATCATGGACCCCTTTTGGTTGTAGGTTACATTACGGCACCTAATAGTGAGGTGTACCAAAATAGGACCCTGATTTTGGAAACTACCCATATGATTTTCATGGGTGCTTCTGCATCGTCAACGGGCTCTCTTACGCATGAGAGGCTTCCAGCTTGTCTGGGGCCTTCTCTTACTGGGTCTTAGTAGGGAATAATGGACCATATTATAAAAGGGGGTATACAGGGATAATGGAAAAAGAAAATGGAAACTACGACATTATCGTAGGGTATATATGGTGTTATAGTAGGGAATAAACTGAATAAAGGAACATGTCATGAAGAGGTTGTATACGGATTATATACCCTTATACCTTACCAAGAACCAGTAAGCAGTGCATCCAAAGCAGCCGGCACGTTTGCGAGGTGGTCACTGACGTCTTCCAAATTCTCCCTCATGTTCTCTTGCCTCTCTGTAGGCCTTGTCCCGATGCGGGGCTTCACCAAAACCCTAAACCGCTAAACCCCAGGCCCTAAACCCTAAACCCTTGAGGTCGTAGCTGCAGGCTCCACTGGCGCAGATCCAGGAGCTGTTGGTGGAGGCGTTCATGAGTCACGAAGGCAAACATCCCTTTTTAAGGGGTTATAGGGGGTTGTGGTAGAAGCAAAAAAGCAGGTTTTAGGGATACAGTTTTGCAGAACCAAACGGGAAAGAACATGCAAAAATCAAGGTGAGATAGGGATTTAGGGTTAGGGGCCTTTCCAGCTTTACTATGAAATGCAATGGCAATCAAAGGCCTGGTTAATGCTTGGGTCTTCCCTACCTGGGAAGAAGGTGGTCAAAGAGGGCTACCCATCCGTGGAATGAACGGAGGGAGTTTGAGCATTCCTATCAAGAATTCCATGGTGTGAGAAACGCGCAAACGACTCATTAGGAGTGTAGGGCTGGGTGTGAGGATTAGGATCCCTGTGGTTTAGGGTTTAAGGTTTTGGGAAGACGCATTCTTATCTCATCCTCTCGACCACGGCTCGATCGATGCGCATGGCTCATGACTGCAGGATGTGATCGCAATGTTGGATGAACACTGAGGCTCCAACTAGCCCAGTGTGTCTAATAGCTATGATGTTAGGCGCCAATGTGGGATTTATTTATATACTTGGATCTTTCGGGGAAGCTGTGTCAAACTACCCGGGGTGTACCTTGCGCGAGCACCCCAAAATTGATCATGAGCTCCCCTCATGAAACGATGAGCGACACTGTTAACCATCCCAAATCGTCACCCAACTACAACACTTCAGTTGAGATGCTCTTTCTACATGCTATCACGACAGACGTGCGTGCCCATCGTAACCACGTTGGCATCCAGAACAAGCATCAGTCTTTCCATGGTATTTACGTCAACAGCAACGAAATACACTTTGAGACGAGACTCAAAGAACCAGGAACTTCAGGGTCCCAATAGCAAGTGAGTCCTGTGATATCGTATAGGCGGCATGCAGGATAAGGGAATATGAGCTGTGTATCTCCTTTTTCGGACCTGGATAATGCCAAAAGCCCAACCCAGCAGAGCACAGTAGCAAGTATCACACGCAATGAAAGGAGCGCCTGTCTTCTTTCCTGGGCCCAGAGCTGCTTCTTTGGCTGTTTCACTTGAGATGAATGTTTCAAAAAACAACCCCGGGTAGTGACAGGAGATGGGGACCCACAGAATCTCCTGCCCATGCCCAAATACCACGGGAATAATGGAAAACAAAATGGAAACTACTATACTATTGGGGTTACATCGGGGTTATATTGGGATGAAGGATAAGAAAATGGAGGCTACTATAGATTCCTACCCCTGCCAAGAAAAAACTGTCATGCTACTTGTTGGGCAAGGCGGTACTGATGGCAAACTGTCGACCATGCACCGACGCTCTGTTGTGCCTGCAGTGACTCCGGGTAAGCCGATGTCAAGCGGGTTACACGTTCCCAGCAGGTTCAAATATCTACCATTAAGTACTTAGGCTTGGGATAACAGCAGTTTCAGAACGGGTTTCGAGAAAGTGTATGATAACTAGGTACCTGGACCCTGTGGGATGATGAGTTGCCCAAGCTTCGCGCTGTATAAAACTTCCTGGTTAGTAGGGAATAAGGGTGCACAATCCCTGTATAATCAGTTCTCTTCTTCCCTACTAACCCTAATCCCTAAACCAAACATGTAACGTAGTCCTTTATTCCCTACTAGACCCCGTAGGACATCGTACTTGCGTGGTTGTCGAAATTGCATCTGTTTTTGGTTTCTTGAGCGGAGTTCGCCTGTCTATGGCAGGGGCCCTCCTGAGGGGTTCGGGTTTAGGGTCTAGAGTGCAAGAACTGCCAAAAAATTGTTGCTGTTGGTACAGGGTGTGCACAAAATGTCTTTTTTTCACTTGAGTACGTCCAGCCTGGGCGTCATCCCTATAAATCCCGAACTCTATAACCCTAAACCCCAAAGCATACCTTACACCTTTAATCCTGCACTCACGTTTCCATACCCCCACACCCAGCAAAATCAATCAAGCCAGTTCACCGAGTTCGGGCCCGTTTTTTGGCCCTACAAAATTATGTACTGGAATTGTCTCTCTAGATAACGCCTATGCTATGACCACAAGTTCCGTTCGTTTTCCCGTTTTCCTGGTGACTTTCCATGGTTTTGGTCACAGCCAACATTACCCAGATAATTAATGGACCTGGGTTCCTCAATAGGGACTATGTTAGCAACTATACTAAACTACAAAAGGCCCTTATGTCCACTCTTAAGGGTCCCTTAATAAAGCTAATATTGACAACAGCTCATGTAACCCTAGACCTCAGGCCAGTAAACCCAAAACCCAAATCCCTAAACCCTAAAACCCTAAACCCTAAAAACTCTAAACCCTCAGCCCTAAACCCTGAAACCCTAAACCCTAAAACCTTAAAACTCTAAACCCTCAGCCCTAAACCCTAAAACCCTCAACCCTAGAACCCTCAACCCTAAACCCTTATGTGGAAGTTTCCCTAAATTA